CTGGGGTGTAGCTTCAATTTGGAATACAGGAGACCACTAAAAGCCTCAAGCAGGTCTAAATAAAATCACCCAATTAAAAAATCACCCACATGTATCCAACTCTTCTCTAGTGGCTAGAAGGACCTCTAGGACAAGCTAGTCCCGTTCCCACTGCTCTAGCCCACCCTCTGCTCCTCAGCACTGTCAAGCCCCTCCTTCCCTGGCCATCTTGTACTAGAGGTCCCTGTGCACAGACCCCCATGAGATGCCCGTCAGGTGACTCCGGGTCACCGCATTCCCTTTCTAGTGCCCAGCACTGCGCTCAAGTCCTCCACGTTCATGCGCTGAGCTCTTGCTCACAGCAGCATCGGGGGCTCACAGGTGTTCAACAAACAGTTCTGAATGAGAGAGTGGAAGGAAGGCGGGAGGGAAGGAAGGAAAGAGGGTGAGAAGGAGAGGGAAAAGGAAGAACCCTCAAAGTGGCAAGTTCACCTTTAGGAAACTAACGCAGTGCTAAGATTCAGAGATGAAGGGGAAGAGATACTGGAGATGAGATCCAAGGGAAGCAGAAAGAGGTCCTTCAGGCGGGTTCCTGTGGGCCTTGTCAAAGGTTTGCGTCTGCACAGGAAAGCCAGCGAGCAGCCTCTGAAAGGACGCACAATCAGGAGTGAGTCACGTTGGTGTTCGTTTTAAAAACATCACCCTGGACTCAACCTGAAGAGTAAATCGCAAAGGAGCAGGAAAGGCACAAGCCAGCTGGTCAGAAGCCTGTGGCAGGGGCTCTGACAGATGAGGAGACCGTGTGACCACAGCTCTGGCCGCAGACGTCAAAACGCTGGGATGAACTGTGGACCTGTGATGATTCTGAGAAGGAAGACAGAAGGAAACTCATCAAGAAGGACTTCAGATGCCTGGCTTACTGGGTACTGGAGCCGTATTCAGGAAAATATTAGAAAGTGGCAAAGGGGAGGGTCTGGAGGAGGCAGGTAAAGATGACTTTGAAGCTGCCGGCTGGGGAGGGGCCTCTTCCACTTCGGGTAGAACTGTCTAGTAGGTGAGTTAAAATTAGGCCTGGATTTCAGAAGAGAGATCTGGACTGCAAGTAAAGATTCAAGGGGCACATTAAACAATAGCAAGACTTCCTGGCTGGGGAGGTGAGAAAAAGAAAGAAGTTTGAAAATATTCTACAGTTTCTGATATGGATCAGCACAAGGTTGTGGTACTGCCATCAGAACTCAGGGTGCAGCAGAGACGGGAGGCTTGGAAAATGCTAAGGATTGGGCCCTGCGTCGAAATGGGGAAGAAGCAGCCGAGCTATTGTGGAAGAGAACGAGTGGGTACGACAGGTGGCCAAAGCTTCAGAGAGGCGTCTCAAGACAGCCTCACAGAAACTGCTTTGTAATTTCTACAACTGGGAAACTGCTTCCCATGAGACTGAATCCTGCATCTCTCAGTCTCCTTATAAATAAGTGTAGGTTTGGCCATGTGACTAAGTTCTAGTAAAAGAAACAAATGTGGCAGCATGTCTGGGGCATTCCATTTAAAGAAAAAAGGATACATCTTTTCCTTCCTCCTTTCTTCATCATACTGCTTAGAGTACAGATGAGACGGTTAGGGCTCTAGCAGCCTTTGGTCCATGACAGTGAGAGCCAAACTCAAGAGATGACAAAGAAATGAGCTAGAAATTACCTGGGTCTCTGACAATTTTATGGAACCACTGTCCCTCTCTTGGGCTGCCTACTTTCAGACTTCTTTTTAATGTGAAGGAATTAAACCCATTTATGCCACTGTCAGAAGGTGCTCTGTCCTGCACACCTCTAATTCTATTCAGAACATTAGCCAGCTGGTCTACCACCATCCAGCATTGCTATCTCCTTGCTTAGGTCACACTACTGCCCAGACAGGGAATATCCTCCCCCTGCCTGTATTTACTTAAATCCTGCCCATCCTTTAAAGGATAGATCAAATTCCCCCTCCTACTGGAGATTTCCCTTCCACTTCCTCCCCTGAGTTCTGGCACTGTCTGCCTGCCCCCACTCCTTGGGCATCTGATCTTGCTTTATAGTGAGTGAGTCATTCCCCTATTCTTTTGCCCTGACTGCTCAGAGGCTCACTACCTCTAAGGGCAAGGCCCATGGTTTCCAGGTCCTTGTATTTCCATGGCTTACAAGATAGTCAAATAAATAAAACCCTCACAGCCTCTTTTACTTATACCAGGATAAGGCAGGGGCTAGAAAATAGATAAACAAATTTAGAAAAAAAATGGGAAGGCAGGAAAAATTGAGGGCAGTTAACAAGAAATGTAACACTACTTCTAGTATGAAAAGGTAGCTTGGGGGAAAGAGCTGATACATTTCCTTCAAATTCTAAGGCATAGACCTTAAACTCTGCCTCAAAATACAATGCCAGGAGGCACTATTTACACAGGAAATAATGCAAGGGAGATGTGTTGTCCCCACCCCCACGGAGGTACAAAAGCCAGTCCTTTCAGGAAAAAAAAAATAGCAAATCACAGCTGGGGACAAAGATGCACCTCTAGTCTCAACTACTTAGGGGGCTGAAGCAGGAGGATTGCATGAGGACAAGAATTAGAAGCCAGCCTGGGCAATAAAGTAAGATCTTTCACAAAACAAAAGAGAAAACCGAGTCATGACAGTCAAGGTATTTTCACATAATACACTTGCAATAGATTCTTTGCAAATGAATATCTATTTAAAAATCACTTTGGATTACTTTTAAAAGGTATGTTTCAAGCATTGGAGCAAGGTAAATTATTTGCAAAAAATATAGTTCATTTGTAAAAAGCAATCTAATGCTCTAAAACTTCGGTATTTTTTTACACACACACACACTCATCCCGAAGGATTCTCTACGCAGAGCTTGTGACACGGGTTGACACAGCAGGAAGATGTCAACAAAGATAATTACGGGGTGGGGGGTGAGCAATGGAAACTGCTAATTTACCATACACCTAGGTGGAAGCAGGCCGAGGTTTAGGGGCAGGTCCAGATTGCCTCAAAACACCCTTACAGTGAGAGCAGGGAAGGCAGCTTACGGAGGTCAGACGTCCCCGTGCCCGCTGGAAGTAATCAGGCACATCTGGGACCCACAGAAGGACAGCAAAGTCGCTGTAAATGGACTCAGGAAGAAGAGCTTGGCAATAGAAGGATCAAGGTGAGAAACAAGAAGTTTCCTGCTTAAAGTAACACTGGCGCCTCTCTGCGATCTGCTCCCAGCGCCGAATAACAGCTGTTCACACTTTCGCAAAGCGCAAACCGCAAAGGCAGGTCAGCAACTGCCGCTGGGCTGTGTTGCTCTTCTGCCTGCGCACGGTTTGCGCACTAGCTAGCATTTCCTTTACCGCCTCGTTTCTACTGAAACTCAGCCTGGCTTTTAACACGCCTGCCAAAACTGCCCGCTTCCGGGCCCAACAGTCCAGGATTCTGTGCCAACCCCACATTGCCAGATGCCACTTGGGGACGGCGCCTGTGGACACGGAGAGCAGAGCCTCAGAGAAATCCTACCCCGCTCAGGCGGAGGTACCACTTGTGACCGCCAGGTGGCAGTAGCGAGTAAGGAGCCGCCTGCCTTTTTTAGAGAGCTTCCGACCCTGACGCGGGAGGAACTGGACGCTGCGGCTTTGGGGACCGGCAGCCCTATCATCACACTCGCAGGTCGTCCTGAGTATTTCACTTACTTGGCTGACAACGTACATTGTAAACTCAGCGTGCCACCTCTAGCCTGGCCTTAATTCAAATCTTTCCCGCACTCAAGAGACTAGGCATTGCTCACTCCAATGGGACTAGGGTTTTCCACCCATGTCCTTCCCCAAGAAGGCGGAAACACAGATCCGAGTGTCCTAGCCGCGCTCATCGGCCCCATACAAGTTACCACATGCGCATGCTAGCAGCTTCTGTTTACACCCAGGGTTCAAGGCATTTGGCTTGCAGTGCTTCAGCAACACGCTGGGGTGTTTCAGGGTGGAGCCCACAAAACAGGGAACCCAGCAGAGGCTCGGAATTATACAAACCAGAACCAAGGGCCCCTTCACGGCCAGCTTTACTGAGCTGGATCTAAACTGGTCTCTTCTTACCGGATGTGGCATTTCCAACACAAATATCAGATCTATGAGTAGTTTGGGGAAGCTTCACAGTGTCACAGCTACTGTACTTCCCTCCTACAAGCTGAAGACATAGCCTTTGGAACACAAGAATGTGGTGAACCTGGCCTTCTGGCGTCTCACCACCTATGGTTAGGGTTTGCCCAGCCGCCAAACAGCATGTTTATTCACCTCTGCCTCTGTGCATCCAAAGGCACAGACTTCCTGCCCAGCTTTCCCCTGTGTGGGGGAGAGTCTCCTGGGTGCTCTTCCGACCACTGTCCTCTTAACTTGACCCTGAGTAAGCTTATCTTCCAATATCTCACAGAAAAGGATGCTGATGACAGAGGAGAAATATAATCTTCTGGATAAAAGATCACGAGGCTCAGTTTAAGAATTTGCAAACAGCTTCATATCCCCTCATCTTGCAGCAGGGCACTACTCAAAGGTTCAGGGCTAAGTGGCATAACCGGCCTCAGAGCTGGTCTTGTTACCAGGGGAACCAAGACTGGCCCAGTCATTCTCGGAACAGCCCACTTGTAACTACAGCAGGAAGACACTTGCAGATCCGCCAAGCAGATCCGCCCTTAGACCACATGTCCCAGTGGGATTTGGTTATGGGTCAGTTCCTTTGCCACCTTTATTTTCTACCTGTGTCCACATTCTCTGACTCACCAAAAGCATTTCACAAAGTGATCAGGGGGAGACTCGAGGGCATTTCTCTGGGCAGAGGGAGCTGCTTTAGTCCCCAGGACCTTGGCTTCCCCAGTGAGGCAAGGCCCCTTCCTCTGCTCTGTGTCACATCCCACTTCATCCCAGCAACAGCCCTCCAGCTGATGTCTTCCCAGCACAAGTGTGGCCAGGCCAAGACCAAGAACGAGACACCTTAGGACAAGCTTGTGCACCAGAAAGTCAGGCTCACCGTTTACCGATGACAAGGAACAGTGTTGTATGTTTCCGGAGGAAGACGTGCTGCAGTTCTGCCAGAGATCAGTCGAGTGTCCATTGCCCACGATCCATTGCTAGAAAGAATCAGATATGTAGAATCAGGTGGAGAGGGCAGGCCAAAGGATGGCAAACAGCAGCAGCCTCCTCTGCCTGGCTGCCTGGCCGATGCCTGCCCTGCCCTGCCCTGCCCATGACACTCTCTGTAAAGTTCGGGCATGACCCAGAAGCAAGAGAGGTGGCAGCCTGGTACATATGGAGGTGAACACCACCGTTTCTGTGGGGGAACAGCACTTTACAATGGAAAAATACCCCCCCACACACAGAGAGACACACTATAATGTACAAGGTGTGCCGTGAGGTAGACGGAGCCATGGGCTCACACCAGAACAGCTAAATTTAATTGTACCTCCTCCCCTCCCCTCCTGGTGACCATTCCCCAAACCACCACCTCTCTAAGCCCATTTCCTGACTTATACTTCCTATTAATCTGACAAGATTGGCACCAGGCATAATTAAGGTCTTGTGAAGATGTTCATAAATGACAAAGCAATTTGCAAATTTCCAAAACACTAAGTTTTCAGACTAGAAAATCATGCTTACAACTTTCCTTACACTGAGACGCTAAAGCCATGGGCACTTAACACTCTGAGTCGGGTTTCATCTTCATAGCAAGAAAGAAAGAAATAAAAATTGTTTAAAACTCATGTCTGATGGCTTTGTAGCCAAAGTTATTCTGCTGACCTGTTGGTATCAGCGACAAGGTGCTGTGGTCACATCACAAAGCAAACCTGGGGCTTGCAAACTTATCTAATTTCAAGTCCGAAAGTGTTTTACAAGTTAAGCCTGCCGTATGAACCATGGTTTAGGAAAGAAACAAGTTTTCACAAATTCTCCACTTCTTCAGTGAGGCCCCATCAAGAAAGAAATGCTAAACAACCTTATCAAATGGAAGGCTGAGGCCGGTCCTCAAATGGACCCTGAAATTACACGGTTTGAACCGCGGCCTGGACAGCTAACTTAAACCAGCGCTGGCTCCTTCCTATGAGTCTGCGCTGGTTTTCTCAAAACAACTGAAAAGAGGCAGACTGCCAGACACTGCGCAAACCACTCCAGGGCACCGCACACGCTACGCTGTGTGCAAACAACCCAGTGCTGAACCAGGGGTTCGCGAGCTGGGGACCCAGAAGAGGGGTCTCCCCCCGCCCGCCCCGGGGGCCCCTCCTGCCGCCGCTGGGCACTCACGCTGACGATCGTGGAGACGAACAGCAACACCAGCACAGCGACGTGCAGGACGATGATCCCCAGCAGCAGGAGGAGCATTCTGGCAGCGAGGTGTGCTCAGCGGGGTTCCTTCCTGCGCGAAGAGAGAGCCCAGCAGGGCGTGAGGGGCGCGCGCCGGGGAGCGGGGAGGCGCGGAGGGAGGGTCCCGCGGGCGGAAAGCCCTGCCTGGCACCGCCGCTGCCCTCCGGCTGCCCGCCCACGCCGGGAGCGCGCCCTGGACCGCCGGCCGCCGGGAGGGGGCGGCAGCGGACGGCGATCCCCGCCCAGCCAGCCGCGGGCCGCCCGCACCGCACATCTTTTGCTTTTTGAACAAAACAGGCCGCGCGTCGTCTAAGCCAGCCGGGAGGAGAAGAGTTTCCAGAGCGACGAGGGGCGGCCGCGCACGCGCCCCCGACGCGGCGCCCGCGGGCACAGCCTGGCTTGGGATAGAGGCCGCCCTGTCCTGGAACCGGGAGCGCTGGCGAATGCCCTCTGGAGCGCAGGGGAGTTGGCGCCCCGATTTCTGCCAGAAGCTCGGGGTCACGGCGGCCTCCTGTGAAGGCGAATGCCGCAGGGAGGCCGCGTTTCCAAATCCCAGGCACCCCGCATTCCGTTAGCTCCGCTCCACGGTTCCCGCCCAGCCGCGGGGAGGAGTTCCCACCTTGCCAGAGAGGGGCGCTGCCCTGGCCCTAGCTTGGACTGCGGGCTCGGAGCACGGCGCAGAGCCCGGGGTGCGGAAAGAAAGAACGGCCCGGGAGGGCTGTCCGGACACCTCGCTCCCCCACCGCGCGCTTTCCCAGGCGGCCCGGCGAGATCTGGGGGAAGGGGACGGGGACATCCCGCTCCCGGGTGGGGTCCGAGTGCGCACGCCTGCAGGGTCAGTCTGCGCCCCGGGCGCGCGGACCCCCGACGTGGACCCGGTCCAGCCTCGGATCCGGTCTGGGCGCGGCAGGACGCGAGCCCGAGACGTCCGGCGGGAGACAGAATAAAGTGTTGACTGGGAACGAGGAGAGTTCCAGCCCGTCGGGCAGTCGGTGCCATGTGGTCCCCACCTAGACCCGCGTTTCCAGACTTTGGGGGAACTGAAAGGTCAGGATGACCGGGCCGAGGGCAGTTTGGGAAGACCAGCTGCGTCCGCCAGGACTAGTGAAGCGCAGAGGCTTGCGCCAGGCACAGGATTCAGTTAGTTTTACAAGTACCCAATCTCAAAAGCCTTCGTTTCTCTCCACAAGGAACACATTCAAAGAAACCTTGGAGTACACAGAAGAAATAAAAAAAGTTTTCTGTTTTCTTCTAGGGGATTAAAACTAAATCTGATGGTTCCTAATGCCCGGGAGAGTTCGGGCCCGGGGCTAGGACCACAGGTCCGCGGCCCGGCCCGGGTGTCTACCTGAGGGACTGTTTCGGCCGTGCGGCCCGGAGCCAACGCCCCTCAGCCAGGCTGACAGCGCCGCCCTCAGGGTCTCCCATCCAGACCTCGCCCTCGCCCTCGCCCTTCGGGTCCTCGGACGAAACCGCCCCTCTCCCTCAGGGCAGGAAGCAAACGGAAACGCTGCTGGCAGGGTCCCCGCTTCAGAACCAAGCCTTAAGGACCTGGCCAGCGCCCGCGCCCGTTCTCAGCTTTCCGGCGCAACAGGACGGACGGTGCCCGCGTTTCTCCAACTTTCCCCGCAGAATTACTTACAGCCCCAAGGACTGGGTGCTCCGGAGCAGGCTGGCCCGAGGCGCAGACGCGAGGCGTCCCCTGGGTGGCCGGAGTCCCGAAGGCTGCGGTGCTGCCGGGCTGCGGGCGCGCGAAGCAAGGGGGCAGCGGGAGGCTCCCGGCGTTCCCCTTTAACGGGAACAACGCCCTGTTTGCGTCGCTGCGGTAGGGTGTGTCCCGGTCAGCGTGTGCGGGAGGGCGGGACTGGGGAGGAGAGGGGGCAGGAGCGAGGGAGGGCGGGAGACAGCTACTTAGAAATGCGCCCGGGGAAAAAGCCGATCTCTGCAAAACGACCGAGACCTGAAACTGGAGGCCCCTGAGTTTCTCGCCTCCCGCCTCCTCCGGCTCCGCGTGCTCAAGGAAACGCACTGCTGACCGATCAACCGGCCCTTCGGCCTTCTCGTCCCATTTGGGAAAAGCCTGCCAGACTTTGCTCCCTGGGTACCCAGCGCGGGGCTTCGGGGCGCATTGACGCCGAATACGTGTACGCGGGACTGAGCCTGGAGTTCTCAGCTACCCACAAGGGCGGGGGCGCCTAAGCGAAGGAGGACGTCCTGCTCTTCATGGGTCCTGGCGCGGCGGGCCTGCGTGGCGTCTTAGCTGGACACGCCTGTACCACGCCCGTCTCCGATAACAATGTCTACACCTAGAAAGAGCGCTGCCTTCCTAGGATTCCAGGAGACCGACCTAAAGGTTCTGCTTGGATGAGAGTCCAGAATAGGGGAAGAAAGACAGCGTGCCCGGAAATCTAGGCTCCTCCTAGCTTAGGCAAAACCAGACTACAAGTTTGCCTGCGGCAGTCTGGTTTGGCTGCCAGCCTTGGCGAGGATCCGGGCCACAGAGCAGGGGAGTGAAGGAGGGGAGTGAAGGAAGCGACCAGTTGAAGGAGAGGGAGCGGGAAGCAGCCAGGGAAATCAGCTGATTCACAACCGCAGGACCGGGTTTCCCCCTCCGTCTTAGAAAATCTAGCTCTTCTTGGCTCAGAGCAGGTGCGCCCAAGGAACCCTGCGCGCTGGCCAGCTCAGTGAAGCCCCAAAGGCGCGGCTGAATGCGGACGTTAAACGCCTAATGCTACACTTTACACACACACACACACGCACACACACACACACTCACTCCCTACTTGCTAGTTAGTGTACTGCGTCCTAAAATCTTCCTACACTAAGTGACCCAGATAATTCCCTATTACGTTACTGTTCAAAAGTGACTGCTATGCTAATTGTATACTTTATAAGTAAAAATAAATTTGAAACTTTGTTCAATGAATGGTCTTTTAAAAACACTTATCAGGTTCAAAAGAGTATTTGTCAATTATTTATTAATGACCATTATTTACCTGGTCAGTGAGAGAGGCAGTATGGTGCAATGGTTCTGAGCTCAGGCAAACCTGATCACCTTGCTTATTCCTGTTGGGAATTTGGGCCATTTCTGAAGTCTGCTGAGTTTTGGTTTTCTGATCTACAGAGGGCTAATATTGTTTCAAAGGCACATGGTGATAATTAAAGGAGATAATATGTGCAAACAGATTAGTGAAGTGTCTGCAGCAAAATAAGATTCCAGTCCCCAAATTCTGAAGACTATTATTATGATGTCCCATTTACCTTTCATATCTACCACTTCTAGGAATACTTTACTACTTCTGCACTAAAATGACTTCTAATGCCCAGTTATGCACTTATCTGAGAGATGTATAAAGTGAATGACTAAAGAAATCAAAATATTTTTCTATAAATTTTGGGTGATTTATAGATCAGATATGCCCTAAAATTATTATCTTGTTTCATGCTATTCTGACTTTTATTTATGTAATCAATATTTATGGAGTCATTACCTACCCAGTACTGTTCTAAGCTCTTTACAAATATTAGCATATTTCATTCAGAATTTTCTTCCCTTTGTTTTTCAAGTACACTCTTCAATAAAGTATTTTTATACATCTAGAAAGATGCATGCATTAAGTCTTCTTCCTTTCTCTTGAATCCAATATTTTAATCAATAACAACCTACGTCAGAGCCACATCATAAGCCCCTAGACAGGTGAACCCAGCAGTCCCTTGCTGCCTCTTGGCTTCTTCCCAGTCCCCTGCGGGAAGGAGGAAATGCTACTTGGTGCAGTGCCCATCATGGTGGGCCACACCCAGAGCCCACTAGCTGTACCCAGGGCCCGCTACAGCGCCACCCGTGGAAGGAGCCTCCTAACCTGCTTGCCATGATCACCTGCCAGCTGTGTGCACACAGCTGTTTTCCATCACAAAGCTATGAGCCCTTTCTCTCTTCCAGTCCGGATGCCTTAGGGCTTTTAGATGCTCTCAAATGACACTTGTCACCCAAGCTAAAGTCTATATCCAGCTCTTAAACAAGGATGTGAAAACTCCTCTGACTCCCCATTAGTTCCAACACAAATGTGCAGTCTCCATTGCAACCCTTACCCTTTGCGGCTTTTGCAGGGGGTGGGGAATTGGGTAGCTCTCTGTGAAGCACACACCACCCAGAGGCACAATTTGCCAATAAAACTCACCAGGCCAAACAGCGTAATCCCTTCCTCCACACGGATATCTTTGCAAAGGGTGGCAAGGCAAGGCCCTTCCCACAGGGCAGCCAGAGACCTACAGCTGATAGACTCTGCCTCGCTGCCTCCAACCAGGCTGCCCGAGATGCTCCCTGGTGGTGCTCCCTGTAACTGGAGCTAGCCCAGGCTTCTTTCCAGTTTATTCAGGGGCTGGTCCAATGCTGGGATATGTCATGGTGGCCTGAGAGCTTCTCAGCCTCTACTATTTAAAGAGACAGTGTCTAATTTTGTGTACCTTCTATAATAGAGTGATCCCAACAGGACCTGCAGAAAATTAAGGGTCTGGAATCAACTCGGAGAAGAGCTTTGAACATGTCTGAAACCTGGAGAGGCGAGACTGTTTTCCCTGAAGTCCAGCTGGAATATTAGCAGAAAGAACCTGCTGATTCTCAGCACCTTTTCCTCAACTCTGTGAACTCCAGTGATGAAATCTATTGCATGAAATGTCCTGCATGTAATGTTACTTGTGTGCAGATATGTTTCATTTTAAATCTACAGTGTCCTTTTACAAAGCTCCCACACTGCATGCTCATAGTATACTAGGATGAAACAGGGAAATAAGTCTTCCAGCTCTGTGTTTATAAGCCCTTCACCAAGTCATTATTAAACATCAATCTTCATGAGACAAGTTAGCAAACTTCTAACAAAAATGTTCCAATCTGTCAGGCAGGATAGGCAACAAGACCAAGTGAAAAGTAGTGGAGAGGGTGGCAAACGAAGGCCTGTTGGTATTCTGGTTCTTTACAGCTTGTAACTATTCCTTCAAGCTCTCGAAGAGAGTCCCCCATCTCTAGCAGCCGCTCCTAGGTGGATACTTGAAGAACCAGGGATGTGGTTTCATTGGATGAGTTTCCTGGAATTCTGGCAATTTTCCTACCTCTTATATCAGGGACCCCCAATCTGGAGTGATCCATAGAGTTCCAAGAGGTCCGTATCTGCCACAGAAATGTTATGTGTCCTGCCGTCCTGCCGTCCAGTCAAGAGCAAATCTCAATGGTCTTCAATTATTCTGCTTGCAGCCAGCATCTTTCCAATCCAGATGACGCAGTTTCACTTTTCTCCATTTGCATACACCATTTTTATTTTTCCCAGCAAGGGTTCTCAGCCCTGACTACTCATTAGCACAGTCACTTGCCAATAGCCTGACCTTGGCCTATACGCAGAGATGCAGATGCTAGTGTTCAGGGAAGGAGCTCAGGTATGGCTCATTTGTAATATTCTCCTTGCCCAGGATGTTTTGTTGTACATCCAGGTTGTCTGGAGTTTGTACACCCGTATTTTGCTTCCTCTCTCTTCTGTAGTGGAATCCAAATTGAGTGTGGGCAACTTGCACACTGCTATACAAGTTGTAGTTTAGTGTTTCCAAGTGAAACGGGCGTATGAGAGAGGAGGGGATAGGAACTTCTCCCTCAGCCTTCCTCTGACATGGTCTGTACGGGTGGCTGTGAAAGCATGGCTTTAATGTTCTGATTTCTCCTGAGGGCCCCTACATGGTGCCTCATGATTAAATTCCAGAGGTTGCAGGCCATAGGATGTTGCCCTGAGGCTAGAGTTAAACATGGACACAAGTGAGGAGATCATGGCTGAGTCAGGAGCTAACAATTCAGAGCAAGAGAATAGAGCAGGATGAGGGATGAGGTGGAAATTTTGCTTCTGACTGGAAAGGAGCAATGTGATTATCCAGCCCACTCTCCCTTTATGAGCTTCTCTTATTAGGACCTGCTTTCCTGACCATCCATCTCCCTTTGCTTCTTCCATTCCCAGCAGTGAATGCCTGCAGGACCTGCTGGTTGCTGGCAAGAGAACTAGTTCCGGCTGCAGAATGAGTTCCACCAGCCCCGCCCACCGGGTACCAACACACTTGCCTCCATTCGTCTGGGCTGTGTTCTGTGCCTCCTCAGGAAGCTAACAAAGGAAAGCACTTTTCGGCCTTCTCCCACTTTAAGTAGCCCCTTCCACAACCAGATGGAACCTCTACCCAAGAATGTATACTGAAGGAGTCTTTAGGGCCACGAACAATATTCCACTTGCCATATTCATCACACAGAAGCCAAGTGTGATGGAGCATGTGTGTAATCCCAGAGCTCAAGACGCAGAGAGAAGAGGAGTACCAGGAGTTCGAGGCCAGCATGGGCTACACAGTGATACCCTGTCTCAAAAAAACAAACAAAACAAAACAGTCACACAGAATAGTCACCCAATTACATTGATCATCATATTGTTTTATTATCATTTCTGTCTTATACATATAGAAAATAAGAACTGTGAAACTTCCTTGAGGAAGCATAGTTAAATCACAGAAGACTGGTGAATTCCAACACCCAAGCTTTTCTGCTGTACCTTTCACCATCAGCTTGACTGTACCAAGTCATCTAGAAGTTACTGACTAAATTACGGCCCATATGTACTTGTTGCCTACTAAGAGCCAGATATGCTCCAGAATACTTTGTATGAATCAAATCATTTAACCCTTACAACTACTCTGTAAAGTAGGCACAGCAAAACATCAAGTAGCTTTCTCAAGATACACTGTTACAGAGCGCATGCCTAATAGCCTACCTTGCTCCTGCATGTGTCTGGCATATCCCTAGCCTATTTAACTTTTTAACTGTGCTTCCATAAAAGCTATAACTTAATTTCCTTACTTCATGAAGGATGCTGCATTCACATTTCTTTTTCTATTAAAAGGCAAGAAAATGTCCTAAAACATTTACTCCTGCACCTGTCACTTCAGCACCACCGTCATACATTCTGCCTCATCTTACCAACAAAGCCACACTCTTTCATGAGGATGGACACGTCACACACATCTGCACGGTACCAGCACGGGGATAAAATCTTGCCCGTAGGTGGCAGTTGGTTTCCTGAGACTCTCGTTGTGCATGAGGAATGGAACCCAAGCTGACTCCAGGGAAGTGCTTTGTAGCTAATGAAATGATTTTGCATCTAGTGTCCCCGTGAATGGGAATCATTAGCAAGCGTATCCTACATGAAGAAACTGAGGCTTGAAGACTCCACACTGTTTTCTCCAAGGACCAGCTAGCAAAGGTCAGGGATGAGACTTGAAACTAGTTCTTCTGATTCCCTAACCTCTGATTTTACCATTCTGCAGACTCCTCAAAGAGCAACTAGCAGTCAGTCTGAATTCGGCGTTTGTCCAGGTGATGAAGTGGTCATTGAAGCATCTGTCTCACCAGGGGCTCTGTCAGTATCTGGACAGTGTTTATGCTACACATGAAGCCTTTCCTGTCTCACGATAGCCAGCAAACTGAGTGGGAGTTCTTGGCCAGGCCTGGATGCAGCTGTCTGAAGAGTGCTCAGAAGTCAGGTTACTGCTTCATGGGGACTCAGCTGGTGTTCTGACCTTGGGTGAGACCAAGAAAAGAGGGGAGAAAGGAAGGAAGCAAGTGACTAAGGAGGGAAAGAAGGAAGGAAGGAAGAAAAGGTAGGAAGGAAAGAAGAAAGGGATGGAAGGAGGGAGGGAGAGAGGAAAAGGAAAAAAAGGAAGAAAGGAAGGAACAGAAACAGCCAGCTTGATTTCCTTGACAAACAAGGAACATATATAAAACAAGTTCAAACTTATGTCCAAATCCCTGGAAGATTGTCTCTGCAAGCAAAACA